TTTTATTTTTTATTTTGTATGAATCTTCATAAGATTTATACTGCACTATAATGTGTCAAGATGAAACTGTTATATGTCTCAAACTTAAAAAGAATATATATATTCCAACATGTAGTGACAATTATTGAGTTTTACATTCATTTTGATAATAAATAGCACAGTGGGTAAAGCACTCAACTAGTTGTTCTGGAGGAAAAATGATGTTCACAAATCACGACGTTTAAAAAATCCTCGAAAAAATCAGTCGCAATCGCAACATAGGTGATCCACAATAATTGCAGTCCTCTTTTTTACATTCTCAACTATGTATTAGTGATTTTTCGAATTTTTGTTTTAATATGTGAACATATTTTTTTCCCAAGAACAGTGCTCCTATGTAACTAAACCCTGATAATGAAGCTAAGCTTCCAAACATGTCCCAGTAATTTGATTACAATAAAGTATAGTTTTGGTAGAATAGACTGTAAGAATTTTGTCCTGTACTATTACTATTATCATTATGATTGAATGTAGAAACCTCACAAACGATAAGATTATTTCACCTGAAGAAACTACTGTGTTAGCAAAACATGTCATGTTATTAGGAATTTGTGGAAATCTTATCGTTTGTGAAGTGTCTACATTTACTATGTAGATGGAAATCAATGAAAATAAATAAAACAAAACTATTATCATCATTATTATTATATTAATTTGTCTAGATTATTTGGGATTTTGTCTGCTACAGATCCTATTATTATATTAGTTCCTTTCACTTGCCTAAATGATTTATTGTCTTATTTTAAATGCTTGATGAACTTTATCTGCATCTCATGTAGTAACAATCATCAAACTAGAGTTCAAGCGCTACTTGGATGGATGTTAGCGAAACGTCGCTGGTGCGCTTTCAATTTGTGTTTTCTCCCTCTCTGCCTACCATTGTGCTCTTGGACTCTAGGTATCATTTATAGAAATGTTTAAATGTATTACTTACCTGGAGAGTGTGCTAGGGGATGGTATAGCCATGATTTGCTTATCTCTGATATGGTTGTAGAGTTTTGGGCTTTTGATTTTCATCAGAATACAGTTATACACCCATTCTAATGTATATCTTCTACCTGATGATTTGCGTTTGGCAGAGTTTAAACAAGCTTTTATCATTTCTTGTTGAACTTCAGGTAGAGTACCAAGAAGTTCATCTAGTCTAACCATATTTGCTTTTTCTTGTCTCAAATTTGACACAACTCTACTCAAATGAGCATTTCTCCTTGATAAATAGGTTGTATAATTGTATTTATGTTTTTTCTTTACCACTTTTGTTTGTTTTTCCTGGCGTTTTTTGATAAAATATTTATAACTGGAGCAGGCTTTGCAAGAATTCCAATTTGTTGGAATTAGCACTGCACAGGACTTGCTATTGCCATGACACATTCTCCATGTATCCATATTTTTAATTAATTCTTGAAGACATTCTAAACTGGTGACTGTGTTCTCTAGATTCAAAACCTTGTCACGAGCTTTGGCTATGATATTTGAGGCACTTAGTATAATAGATCTCTCAGTTATAATACATAAATTGTCATCAATGTACAATTTTGTAATGAGAATATATTTTTCTAGTTTATGAATTCCCCAACCAGATGGAAGTATCATTTGAGGTGTATCAGATTTCAACTCCTCAAATATATCATTCAGGTTTCCTTCATTCATAGTTTCACTAGGAGATATATTTTCTAAATTACCCAAAGGAGGAACATCATTCATAATTGGGATTACTGAGGAAGTGGGAAGAGAGGATGGACTGATTGGAGAGGAATCTTGTTGAGCTAAACTAAAAGGAAGATTGAATTCAATGAATTAATTGATAAAAATATGTAAAAAATATATTTCAGTTTATTTTCATGTAGTTTCATCATATTACAATTTCATATATATACATCAATATAACTCCACAGAATATTGATGTGATCTCTAAATGTATTAATCAAACGGCCCAGTGGTCGAGAGCGCAAAGGCACTAAGTTCATAAAGGAACTCGTATGGAGGCATGGGTTCAAGCCCCCATTTAGGCCATGGATGTTTGTGAATGTATGCTTTCCTAATACCGAACAAGTTTCTTCTGATGGGGCATTGGTTCCAGTGCTGGGACCAACGAGGGAATGTAATTAAGAAAAAGAAACAAATTTGAAAAAATCCAATATTTAGGAAAATTTTTGAACTGATATACATTCCTTCCTAATTAATGTATTTCAACAATAATTTTCTTACTAAATGTGAGAAAATCAGAAAACTTTAATATTATAATCTCACAATTAATTAATTATTTTCTTACTAAACTTCAATAGCTCATTATCAATTTATGGAAACATAATTGAAAACTGGAATACAGTTGTTTGTACACCAGAATTATATATATTGCACTTCACCCAAAAAATTCCAAGGAATTCCAGTTGTTTGTACACCAGAATTCCACCACGGTTTACCCTTGGATATTTTAATGATGAAGGCAGTAGTAAAAATGTTTTGAGTTGAACATCAAATAAGCTGGGTTTGGTTCATCTATGGTTCAAATATCTTAGCTTGTCATTGATTCAATTGTGAGATTTTAATAGGTAACACAATTTCACTAGAATGAATAAGTTTGTTAAAATAATACTACCAACATTTCCAGAGGTAAGGGTATGGCACCCTTTTTCAATCTCTTTGTTAGAATGTCATCATCAGAAAAATGTTTCTGACAGACAAAACCATTATGAGGTAAGTTGATCATTACTGCATCACACCACATTTGGAGTTCAACTTTGTCCTGAAAAATTACCAAAGTTAATTGTTCCTGTATGATCTAAGCTTGTAACCCTGGACTTCAGTTATACATCTCTTGTGTTATCAGTAGATTCTGAAGAAAAGGTGCACTTTTACTGCCTAGGCAGGAAAAGCTTATTGCTAGGCAACGTTTCAAGTGATAATTTGAATCAAATTGGTCATCAAAATTAATATGATGGATTATTTGGACTTAGCATAAAAGTGGGATGAATTTTGAGGAAAAATTATGTGTCAGATGGCAGAAAAGAAAAGTATTTATTCTTGTAATGGTTCTTAAGATGTTCGGCATACAGACTAGGGATTCATGTGGAAAACTATTATTATGATTATCATCTTTTGTGTTCCATATTAGGAATATCCACCCTCGAAAGTAGGAGGATTAAAAGTGATTTATGCTTTTTATTCAAGTTATTGTCTGGTGAAGTTCTTTCTCCAGATCTTCTTTCTCACGTTGGATTAAAAACTAACTCCTCTGGTACCAGGTCAAATGATACTTTTCACATTAAATTTCATTGTCGTAATTATGGATTCCACTGCCCTTTAACAAGAATGGCGCGGAGTGCCAATAGTATGAATTTGCACTATTTTGGCATAACCTTCTCTGCCTTCAGTTCTGAAGTGGGAAGGCGCCTTGCTCTGTGATGCTCTTCATTTTTAATCACCTATATGTTTAGATGTGTACCTATATAATGTATCACATGAATGAATGGTTTTTAATGTGTATTTTTAAATTGTTTATATTGTACAATTCTTGTAATGGATCTGTCCGTAAATAAAATAAATAAATAAATGTTTCTCCCTGTAGATCTAGAAACACAAACTTCATGGGCAGAGTAGGTAGATCATCTCATTATAGGGATTCCCTTTCGTGCGCTCCAAGCGATAAAAAAAAACCGTTCCAGAATCGGACTAGTATTTATTATATTTGATTTCAAAATTGAGTGAAATTTTCAGGTGGACCACTTCATTTGTCATGTAGTTTATTAAGAGATGACTTTTATGACATCTCTCTTTTATGTATGATATATAAACTCAAAAAATACTTGACCAATTTTGAGAATTCTTTCACTGATAGAAAGCTGCATCATCTGTGAGCAACACAGGCTGTGTTTTATAAAAAAGTCTACTAAGTAATTTATCATTCTATCTACCTGAACGAAACCGATCGAGGAGGGTCACTATATAATATCTGTACCTGAGAGCCAGTAAGAACTATAATTATGTGATTATTAATTGAAAATCTATTGTCATAAGGTAATATATATTATGCTGTTAACATGCTTGTTTGTATACACGTATTGAGAAAGTACGTTCAAGAATAAGTTCAAGGTATTTTCTGAAAAATCCCTAGGTATTAGAGGTATCTTAATTTTGATTCTTTCACTGAGAAAATCAACAGAACAATGAAAAAATTCTTGGTGCATTCGCAAGTAGTACCTATATGATTAGTTATTAGTTGAATTCGTACTTACTTTTGGTACAGAAAACATACGGAGTTGCGGATTTTTATACGATCCGCATATATTGCAGCAACGCCAGTCCATGATGAATTATAAAAACTAAACACTATAAACCAAACAAACAACAAAACTACTAAACAACAATTAAAGAATTAAACACTAATGAACAACAATTACAATTACAGGATTAAAACACTTTATATCGTACGAATTTTCCGAATTTTCGAATCTAAATTGCTGAATACGAAGTGACAGATGTCTCTGACGGAATTCGACCACAGAACAATGATGGAAATAGATTCATCCCTCACAGAACCAAGGTTTTGAACGATTTTCCGATTATGGCGCCTCTATCGTCAAATACCTGAACACCACGTCCAAAACTCGCTTGCAATTGTTCCATATCGAGAGTTAGTCTGACGAAACAATTGAAGAGTGAGCCCACCAGTTAAATTTCTATACATCTCTGATGAGATAATTTGGAATTTTTTTAAATTCAACATTGCACTGTTCTATGCATTGTGGATCCTCAATTGACTTTTATAATATTATTACTACAATTATTGTAGTTAATACAGAGGCATTGAAAACACAGCAATTTGACCTAGGTATACTTAGACAGACTTCAGAGCATATGATAATTTTGAAATCATGGAATGTTTCTATCACAAGAATCTTTTATAGACTTGATAGTTTTGAGCTCTGGATGGGGATAAATCCTATTGATACTTCACCTACCTTCCTTATCTTTGTGATTGACTGTGTCCTCCAGGGCCGTTTGGTTAGGCTCCTTGAAGCAAGTCAGACAGTTGCCCATTTGAGGGACCCAAACTGTACCTCCTACGTCCTCGCCTAAAATTACTTAGCATTGCCTGAAAAAATAATGTTAGTTCTGCTTACAAAGTATGCAGATACATGTACTTGACACCATTTGTGCATAAATACCTTAGCAAATTATGCTTTTAGGCACCAAAAACGATAGTCCATGCACTAATTTACAGGTAGTTTATGGATTTCCAACACTGTGCTTATAATATTCATTTTCTTTGAAAAATTGTACAAGTATAATGAGTTGGGAAATTGCGAATAATAATCAACAATATGTACATAGATATTGAAATTATTCAAAAACACTGATATAATTCACTAATCACGAACTTTGGCAACAAAATTCCCAATTTCAATAAAAATACAACATAGTTTTTGTTTTGCAAGTTTTTTCTTGTCACGACTTGTCAGAGAGATTGTCATTATTGTCAATTTTGTCACTCATCACTCACTACTGTCAGTGCAGTGCATCAGTCAGTCAGTCCGTCAAGAGTCAGAGTCGTACGAAAGCGTAGAAGGGTCATCAAAAATAAAAGAATAAAAGGAATTATTGCAACTTGTAACGTGCAGCAATTCAATTACTGCAACTCACAACTCGCAATAATTCAAAATACTGCAACATACAACTTGCAGTAATTGAATTATTGTGTTACATGTTTTTCACATCCTGTATAAAATAGGGATTTCTAGATGTACATTATGACATGAGAACTGGAAGATAAAAGGAGCATCGGTTGTTATGTATATTACGATAGTTACAGTTATGTAATAAAAATTATTGAGATCCGAATTGGATTTTCATTCTCACGGAAGAATTCATACTACATATACAATAGTTTGGCGACGAGGATTTGAAAAGAAGCACGTTTACGCATCCTGAACTACACCTACAGAGAATTACAGCCATGGCAGAGTTATTAGTACAAACTTCTTTCAGCATTGAACCATTTTAACCGAGTACCATGGAGTTTAGAAGATGGTTGCAGCGATTGGAAGGAGCATTCACGGTATTCAAAGTTACCGAGGATTTACGGGTACCATATCTTTTACACTACATTGGTTCCAAATCATTCGAGATAATATGTGATAAAGTCTCACCCGAGGATCCATACCAGAAGTCTTTCAACGAGTTGATAGAGAAAATGGAGCAATTCTATTCACCGAAACCATTAGAAATAGCAGAAAATTTCCGATTCTACCAGAGAAAGCAGCAGAATGGCGAGAGTTTACAAGAATATGCAGCGGCGTTACAAAAGATGAGTATTCACTGTAATTTTGGGAATTACCTGAAAACTGCACTTCGGAATCAATTTGTATTTGGTCTCTCGAGCAGAAGAATTCAAGCGAGACTTCTCGAATCCATTGATTTGAATTTTGACAAGGCTGTCAAAATAGCTACGAGTATGGAGCTGTCAGAGAAAGACGCGATTCAACTACACGGTGGCCCAAATAATTCTCTTGGTTATTTAGGGTCAACTTCAAGAGATTCGAAGCCGACACATCATTTCAAGAACAGCAGAGATTCAACTAATTCTAATAAAATTTCAAATTTTTCCAGAAATTCAAATACTGTTGAATGTTTCAGGTGTGGTGGTGGTCATTTCGCTACAAAATGTAAATTGGATAAAAATATTCAATGTAAAGGATGTGGAGTGAAGGGTCATCTACAGAAGGTTTGTTTTAAGAAGACTACCCATACAAATTCAGTTGAGGAAATACTTAATTCAACCTCAGTAAGTACATCAAATTCAGAATCAGATTAAAATATCATTACACAAATTGAACATCGACAATTCAGAGATAAATATCTTATTGACCTCAATGTAATACAATACAATACAATACAATACAATACAATACAATACAATACAATACAATACAATACAATACAATACAATACAATACAATACAATACAATACAATACAATACAATACAATACAATACAATACAATACAATACAATACAATACAATACAATACAATACAATACAATACAATACAATACAATACAATACAATACAATACAATACAATACAATACAATACAATACAATACAATACAATACAATACAATACAATACAATACAATACAATACAATACAATACAATACAATACAATACAATACAATACAATACAATACAATACAATACAATACAATACAATACAATACAATACAATACAATACAATACAATACCAAACCAAACCAAACCATACCATACCATACCATACCATACCATACCATACCATACCATACCATACCATACCATACCATACCATACCATACCATACGATACGATACGATACGATACGATACAATACAATACAATAAAATATTGAAATATTCCACATAGTATTCAGAACTTATGTTCAACAGAAAAATCAGGCAACGATTAGATTTCATAATTCCAGATCAAAATGAGTATATATATAGATGTGAATAAGGGAAAAGAAATACGATTTCTAAAAGAGGGAGAAAGAGTAGAGTGTAGAAATTATATTGGAGAAAATAAGTGGGAATTTGGAAAAGTAGAGAGAAAGCTTGGAAAATTACATTATCAGATTAAACTCGATGATTGTAGATCATGGAAGAGGCATATTAACTAGTTGCGATCAATAGAAACAAAAACTACATGTTTATCTAATGATTCTGATTCTGAGTTTGATTACCATATACCATATCCTGTAGATGATCCTGAAGAAACATCAGAGCCTATGGAGAATTCAAAAATTAATTCCAATGTCACCACCACACGGAGATCGCAGAGGAATATCAGATTGCCAGTTAAATTAAGAAATGATTTTCAACTTTGAGTTGTTATTGTGGATTTCTTTTTAAGGAGGGAAGGTGTTACATGTTTTTCACATCCTGTATAAAATAGGGATTTCTAGATGTACATTATGACATGAGAACTGGAAGATAAAAGGAGCATCGGTTGTTATGTATATTACGATAGTTACAGTTATGTAATAAAAATTATTGAGATCCGAATTGGATTTTCATTCTCATGGAAGAATTCATACTACATATACAATATATTGCAACTTACAACTTGCAGTAATTTGAATCACTGCAACATATAACTAGCAGTAATTCGAAATAATGCAACATACAACTAGCAGTAATTCAAATCACTGCAACTTACAACTTGCAGTAATTAAAGCACAAAACAGGCTGAGAAGAAGATTAACTCTGGTTAACTCATAGATCAACTACTCTGTTAACAATACCAGCTAGATTCCATTATTAACACCGTATAGTTTACCATCAAAAGCTTGGATTGCATCCACCTTGATTTGATATTTTTATACCTTTACAGGGGCAATTACATAGGTACCTGATAGAATGGATCAGGATGAGTTGGTTCAAGTTTATTTTCACTTGGGATTAAGCCACAAGGAATTGATGGCTGTGCTAACATTGAACCATAATATAACAGTCAGTGGTGAAAGCACCTTGAAAAGACATCTCAGAAATCTTGGACTGTATAGAAGAAAATATTTAATAGATCTTACTGAAGTAATTCAGTTCCTTTCGTACTAATACTGGTTAGAAGAGGGTTAGAATTACTGCGAGTTGTAAGTTGCAGTGATTCGAATTACTGCTAGTTATAAGGTGCAGTGATTCAAATTACTGCAAGTTGCATGTTGCAGGTTGCAGTAATTGAATTACTGCACGTAACAAGTTGCAATAATTAGATTTTTTTTTATTTTCGATGACCCTCCTACTCTTTCGTAGAGTCGCCAACAAACAAAAAAATGTCATCAATTCGACCAGTATAACCAACTTAGGAGAGGACAAGGAAAACACTGGAATGATTCGCTACCCCAAGAATCAATCCACACTGAGCAGTGGCGTGTTCAGAATCTCGCTTTAGGGGGGGCCGAGGCAAAAATAAAAAATGTTGCCAAAATTTGTCGTGATACATTGACCGATATAATTAAACGATACAACACCAGAACAACCATTCTTTTTTATTTTGGCTGAGCAATGAACAAACATGGAAATAGCATACTTATAGATTTTTTTAGATCAATTATTTCAACCTGACCAGTCTTCGAGGCTCATTCGTCTGGCTTTACTTGTGGCGAACCTATTTATTACATTTTCAATATTCAAATCAACTTCTTTGTGAATATTAAGTAAAGTTGGACCATTTCAAACGCTCTTCACCAATGGTTGACCTTAAGTTCTCAAGCGCTTTATGGTTGAAAAGCTCCTTTCCGCTGTTGCCGTTGATACAGGTAGAGTCACAAATATTTGCAGTAAAATCTTTATTGCAGGGAACAAACTCGCCCCAGTGTTTCGATTGCTGTAGAGGGCAAATCTGGTTTATTTGTCCATCTTTTTTGCCACATAATTATTTCAGCTCTTAGTTCTTGTTTTGATATGACTCGAGATAACTCATGCAAAGTTACCACCGCCACCAACTACCTAACTCAGCGACTCTACAGTCTACTCTACAGCTAACTGAACACCCTGAACAGTGAACGTTGATCATTTGGCAGCCACGTGATCGCCACCGATTATATAAACGGAAACACGATCGCCGCCCGCCGGTCAAGCTAGGTATCTCAACATTCCAGTGTTTAATTTATAAGATTCCAGTAGTTACTTTAATTCAGTGGTTCTGATATGTCACGTTCCATGCAGAACGCAGAATGTTGTGAATCAGCAATCAGCTGTTTTTGTTTACGTATATACGTCATGTAATGTCAAGTAAAAAAAATTAATTAATAAAAACAATAATACTTTTTGAGCTGATCGTCTATTAAAAGTTTTGATCTGATTATTCTCTGGATGTTAATGAGTTTTTTGTTTATAATTCAATCATCAGTGTCCACTCTTGGACATTTGTAAGTATCAAACAACTAGAAACATGAATATATTGATCTGCTCCATTCAATGACTCATGAAAAAGACTTTCACCAGATTTTTTATTCAGGTAGTCCAATGATATGGATCGCCCCGGCCAAATCGGGTTTATGGTTTTAAATGAAGACGGCGCTGTGATATCCTCAGCAGGTGAACTCAAAAATGATGAGAATTTCGCCAATTCCATCATGCGCCTGATCAACGTCTCTGCCCAACTAGATTACAGCAATTGTTCCCAAGAGGCGTTCAAAAAACTATCATTAGTTTATGAAGACCATTGCTACATAATCTGTTTATCCAATAGGAAGTATCACATTATCAAGAAATCACTGACAGCATGAATGTGATATTGTATTTAACCAAAATGAAATTTATGCAACTGATTATTCTTTTGGGAGGAATCTGTTTCTCCTTATACCAACTGTTTTGCCTACTGAATGATATGTAAATATAAAAAAGCACCCTACCTACCTAGGTATATTGTTCTTAAATCTTATTGTTTATTCAAACTTTCTAGGTCACTCTTTTATCATTTACAATATGACCTTTTCGGACACCCTGTATACAGTTTTTTTGTATCAAGGACATATCGTCGGTTTTTTTATCAAAATGATGGGATCTATCACCAATATCAGTTTGTACCTCAAAACCTGAACAGGGAGACTGTATAATTCAAAATTCTGTGGTATTAGCCAGCAAAGTAGTTCATTTTATTTAAATATTAATATTATAATATATTATAAAATTGATTTATTTGGTATTTCAAATATTTGACAATTTGACAGTTATATAATTGAATATTCTGTGGTATTAGCCAGAAAAGTAGATGTTTTCTGTTAGAAATTTCAAAAATGATTTTCTTATTTCTCAAAGAACTTGTTCCTAAAACCAAGGCACCAAGGGGTATTCCTAACCAAGGGTTATTGGTTATTTGGTTTAAAAATTAATCACAGAATATTCCACAATCAGATATAATGATATAAAGGATTCACTGTCAGTATATTAGGTATGATATACAAATCAAAATTAATATTATAACAGTTTACTTCACTTCTGAAGCTACATTTTTTTATTGACAGGTGTTTTACTCCTCAAGTTGTACCCCTTATTTCCCAAATCTAATGGAGACCTCATTTCTAAATTATTTTCCAATTTTTTATCACTCACAAATACTCCATTAGAACTACTAATGTCTTTGATCTGAGAGTTATTATAACCTTCAGATGGTTTCTCTTCCTGTCTTGAGACTTCATTCATAAAACTCAAATTGGTAGAACTTAAATCAAGCTCATTTTTGCTGGACAACATTTTCAGAATTTCATCATTTTGTTTCATGATGTGTGAAAGTAAATTGTATTGTTGAATCATAGGATTCTCATAAACAACAGCCCTATACATAAAGAAAATAACAGCTATCATTATAAATACATATCTGGATATCCAAACATAGTAGTAAATGACACTGTATGATTTGTCAATATCATCATCAACAGCAAAAAGTCTTGTTGAACAAAGCAATCTCTCTATGAAAAAATTGAGCAGAAGCATTAAAAAAGCTGGAAACCTTGCAGATTGCACCCTTTCTGTAGCAGTAAACATAAAAATTGAGATCATAGCTACAGTATAAAATATAAGGGAATTGAACCAAGATATTTCCCCTATGACCCAATCTTGCAACCTACTGATGCTACCAGACAAAACCTTCAGTATATCCTGATGGGTCTTGAAGGACACATACAAATCCTCCAACAACTGCTCCAGAAACTGTCCATGCTTCAACATCCTACCTTGCAGCTCTAAACTCTCTTTTTGAGCCTCTAGCAAGTCATGTTGGTTAGCAGCAGTCTCTTTTAACTGCTTTCCAACTCTCATTGTACTCTCCGAAATGATCTCTTGCCATACTTGGCCTTGAAGGAACCAACACATGTTTTGTGTGTGAGTGTAGAATTCTGTGAAGACATGGAAAGCTCTATCTGACATGCTGCTGATGCAAATGGCACGTAAATTGCGTTTTTTGTCCAGTTCACAGTTGTAGGTCTCCTGTCCAGACATTTCTAGGAAGCAATTTGTAATGTGTAAGGCAATGTCACTCTGAGTGTCTTCAGTTAATAGCCTACAACCTGTGTCCAAGTGTTCTATAGCAGATTTCCAGCATGTGCCATATCGAGGTAGAGATTCCCTCTCTTTCAATAACTGCAATAATTGTTAGAAATGTGATCTATTTGGTATAAGTAGCCAAGAAAATACATACCTGGTATTGGGTTCTACCTTGCTCTATCAGTTCTTGATTTGTTTCTGATTCTGCGACGAATATAAGGCAAATTGTCGAAATCAAAAATGCTGTGGACATTTTTCTTTTGATGGAACTCACTTTCCATCTCAATACAGCCAAAAGGTAATGAAAAACGATTCCTTAAAAAATCATTGTCAAAGGCAGACAAGAGGGTGAAGATTGTTTTATGGAAATATCCCAGTCTATTAAATGAATCTGGTTTATCATTTATTGTCCGAAGTCCGAAATATGAGAAAACATTCAGAGAAAAACGGTTCGAATTGTTTGTTCAAATTCTATTATTTGAATTGAAAACACGAAATTCGTTGCCGACTGATTGGATTGGAGGACCATCACAGAACTGAAACTGTTTGACAAATGACAGGTTGACGTTTATTTTTCCATTATATCTGTGGAGCCCGTCATAAATAAACTACCCGAAAAAAGATAGGGATATTATTATTTAATACCGTTCGTTCTACTTTTCATTGAATGAACCCAAAAAAGAACACTGATTTAAATGTTTGCTGTCCATAACAGCTCATTGAAGATTTCATACTCCATCCATAATTCCAACGTGATCGAGTGAAGAAGATAATAATAAGAATGAATGAGTTCATTTCAGGCTTCACAGATTTATACATTATAGATGCAGGTGAAAAAATAGTCGAATCAGACTTTAAATGTCCCTTTGTCCCTCGTGGACCACAAGAGCTCCTCAACAAGGAATACATTCCTCGAGGCGGCAACACTGGATTGTCTCTACTGTTTTTTTGCGAAATGTTGTGACCAATCAAGATATTTGTTGACCCTTTCGTCTTATATTCCTATCAGGCGACTGAATTTGATATCGCAGCGCCAAATTGGCTAGAGAATTCAGACTCGAAAAATATCAAACTTTCGAGAAAATGCATGGAAACTTGAATGTAAACAAACACTCAATGAACTTTTCATATTAGTTACTTGAATATCCGCAAGAGAGCGTGTCACTTATTTTGAATCGCCTTGCGAAGACTAAATATACGACTGCCGCCAATATAAAACTATGGGATCTTTACAAAATGAACGTCTGCCGTATTTGTAAACACAACCTATTCTCTTGAGGATTAAGGAATTTCATGGCACTTGGCAATCTTGGCAAATGTCGTCTTGTCTTCTTATCGTCTTCTTCTTCATGGTGGCCATGGCAGTGCCTTAATTTTTTACTTTGTGTTGTGGTGGTCTTCTGTTGACAAACGTAATGACGACTGTATTCTTGCCGTTGCGGTGTATGTATGTCTTAATTAATATTCAACAATAAAATGGGCTGTGAATGAACTGTGTTTTCTGTTAAATGTTAAATTTGTGGTTCGTGAGCGTCTTCTGTCCAGTGTTCAAATATGTGTAATGTACCGCCAAAGTTTTATCAATTGTGCCGTTTGTGTTTATCCGATGATAACGAGAATGCTTTGTTTATTTTCGATAAGACAGCTATGGAAAGGAATATCGCCAAGAAAATCATGACGTGTCTGTCAATTCTGGTAAGATGATTCATCTCTCGATCCGTTTAATTTAATTACTGATAACAAATCAACTGTGCTGTGGTGATTATAGTAACCTAAATTTGAGACAGTAGACGAGACTGTCTTGCTTATTTTGCTTTTGCTAAATTTGTTCATGATAGCAGACCGCAGCTGCATCGAAAGGGGTTTATTTTGGGACATCCAGTTTGAAATGATATTCCCCGATATAAATAAGCCTTTTTTGTTTGGAAAACATCTGCTTTACATGCGCGTGGGACGAAGATGATGCATTGTGATATTTGATTACAGTAGACCATCTTACACTTACTCATCGTCTCGATTTGATTCATTGCCGATCAATTTTACCTGAGCTGAGTGATTGTAAATAGAAAGTTTGGCATCAAGAGATTTGAATCCAGATGAAGTCGTGATAAGGAATAACGGGAGAATTTATTTCCTTTGTTTTATAATTGGAAACTGGAAAGTGCCTGCTGTTTTCCTTTATAATTATTTTTTGTATGAAATTTTTAATAGGTACCTACTTATTTCAACTGACATCCTCCTTTCAACCTCATATATTATAAAAAGTGGAAATCAAGAGAGGCTGGATTCATGGAATGATTACACTTATTACAACAAAACTGACAAATATATACAGGGAATTATACATACAGGGACTCTAGATTACACAAATTGAAATTATTATAAAAGTCAAGATACCTTATTATCTCTGACCAGTTTCTTCAGGAGATTCCATATTTTGTATGCTGAGAACTACTCATTTACACAATGAATAAAGAATTCCAAGAAATTCCTATGATTTCAAAAAGAATTTCAGAGTTTCACAGAATTTGCAAGGAATTTAAAGAATACCCAAGGGATTAAAAAAAAATCAATGGGATTCAAAGAATTCCCAGGAATTTTAATAGAGGTCCAGGAAAGTATTTCCAGGATTTTCAAAGATCTGCAAAGAATTTCAGATCAGAAAATTCCTCATGAAGTTTCAATGTTCAAAATACAAAAAGATCAAGATCAATTTCTCTAAAACAGCCTTGAAAACAGCTTGATTTTGTTGAGGAATTACCTGAGGAATTCCAAAGAATTTCAATGTCTAAAGAAATACAGTGATCCAAAAGTTTCCAGAAAAACCCATGGAATTCCAATGAATCCTGTGAATCCCAAAGAATATCATGAAATTTCAAGTTATTCCAAGGCATTACAAGAATTTTCCATGGAATTCCAAAACATTTAATAGTATTCAATGAGGTGTTCCAAGAAATTCCAAAGAGTGACCAGAAATTGAAAAGTTAATTTTAAACTAACCAAGGGCACTGTCAACTGTCAAGGTCAATTTTTGATACCACACACTGTCAAATCATTTCTAAGAATTCACAACCATTCCGAAAAAATCCAGAGAAATTCAGCATTCAGCAGCAAAGAGCACTATTCCGCCATCTTGGATAGTCCGCCATATTGGGTTTGCAATGACGTTACATCATTTTTCAAGTTGCTCTCAACAAATCCTTTCACTTGATACCCATATTGTAGAAGTAGATGAAGAATAACTATTCCACCATCCTGGAGGAAGCATCTCGCTATGCCCAATTCCCACGATGCCCACCTTCATGTCGACGATTACCAAGATTGCCGAAGAGCGCAACGTTGCCAGGTCAAGAGAAAAATTCAGAAAACAAGATTTTCACCATGCGCACTTTTCATAGATTCCCACAATGCCCAATTCCTACAATGCCCAATTCCCACTATGCCCACCTTTCTTGGATCCTACCATGCCCACTTCTCACACATTCCCATGATACTCAATTCCTACAATGTCCAATTTCCCAATATGCCCACCTTTCTTAAATTCCCACCATGCCCACTTCTGATATATTCCCACAATGCCCAATTCCTATCACGCCCACCTTCTTTGGATTCCCACCATGATGAAGGTGGGCATGGTGGGAATTGGGCTTCGTGGGAATGTATAAAAAGTGAGCATGGTGGGAATTGGGCTCGGAATTGGGCATCATTGGAATGTATGAAAAGAGGGCATGGTGGGAATCCAAGGAAGGTGGGCATTATGCGAATTGGGCATCGTAGGAATTGGGCATCGTGGGAATCTGTAAAAAGTGGGCGTGGTAGGAATCTTGTGTTTTCTGAATTTTCTCATAACCTGGCAACATTGCGCTCTTTGGCAATCTTCGTAATTGTCAACATGAAGGTGGGCATGGTGGGAATTGGGCATCGCGCTACGCACCCATCCTGGATGTTCCGCCATATTGGATTCAGAATGAGGTCACATTATTTTTCCAGTAACTCAATGAGCCCTTTCATTTTATACCCAAATAGTAGGAGTGCATTAAAAATAACTATTTTGCCATCTGGGATGGTCCGCCATATTGGATTTAGAATGGAGTCCCATTATTATCCGAGTTGCTTTCAACGAGCTCTTTAATTTGATACCCACCTTATAGAAGTAGATTGAAAATAACTATTCCGCCATCTTGGATGGTCCGCCATATTGGATTTAGAATGACGTCACATTATTATTCGAGTTGCTTGCAACTAGCCTTCTCATTTGAATCCCATAATTTAGAAGTGCATCAAAAATGACTATTCCGCCATCTTGGATGGTCCGCCATATTAGATTCAGAATGAAGTCATATTATTATCCGAGTTGCTCTCAACGAGCTCTTTAATTTGATACCCACCTTATAGAAGTAGATTGAAAATAACTATTCCGCCATCTTGGATGGTCCGCCATATTGGATTTAGAATGACGTCACATTATTCTTCGAGTTACTCTCAACTAGCCCTTTCATTTGATACCCATATTGTAGAAGTCCATTAAAAATAACTATTCCTTCATCTTGGTTGGTCCGCCATATTGGTTTTAGAATGACGCCACATTATTATTCGAGTCGCTCTCAACTAGCCTTCTTATCTGATTCCCATATTGTAGAAGTGCATCAAAAATAAATATTTCGCCATCTTGGATGGTCCGCCATATTGGATTTAGAATGAAGTCACATCATTATCCGAGTTGCTTTCAACGAGCTCTTCAATTTGATACCCACCTTATAGAAGTAGATTTAAAATAACTATTCCGCCATCTTGGATGGTCCGCCATATTGGTTTTAGAATGACGCCACATTATTATTCGAGTCGCTCTCAACTAGCCTTCTTATTTGATTCCCATATTGTAGAAATGCATCAAAAATAACTATTCCGCCATCTTGGATGGTCCGCCATATTAGATTCAGAATGAAGTCATATTATTATCCGAGTTGCTCTCAACGAGCTTTTCAATTTGATATCCACCTTATAGAAGTAGATTGAAAATAACTATTCCGCCATCTTGGATGGTCCGCCATATTGGATTTAGAATGACGTCACATTATTCTTCGAGTTCCTCTCAACTAACCTTCTTATTTGATTCCCATCTCGATTCCCATATTGTAGAAGTGCATCAAAAATAACTATTTCGCCATCTTGGATGGTCCGCCATATTGGATTTAGAATGAAGTGACATTATTATCCGAGTTGCTTTCAACGAGCTCTTCAATTTGATACCCACCTTATATAAGTAGATTTAAAATAACTATTCCGCCATCTTGGATGGTCCGCCATATTGGATTTAGAATGACGTCACATTATTATTCGAGTTGCTCCCAACTAGCCTTCTCATTTGAATTCCATATTTTAGAAGTGCATCAAAAATAACTATTCCGCCATCTTGGATGGTCCGCCATATTGGATTTAGAATGACGTCACATTATTCGAGTTGCTCGCAACTAGCCTTCGCATTTGAGTCCCATAATTCAGAAGTGCATCAAAAATGACTATTCCGCCATCTTGGATGGT